CAACCACTGCGATATGCAAATTTTTGCTATTTGACGAACGACATTGAAGCCATTAAGTCACCTCGAATCTACACAATCCGGAAGCTGAGTTCGAGCTTGCGGAGCGAATCCTCGTTGGCCCGCTGTGCATTTAGATTCAAAAGTGCATTTGCTCCAACGGGAGTTGCACGACAAGGGTGTTGTTAGAGGGTGATCTTCAGAATCAGGAATCTCACGAATTTTCCGAATGGCACAACTAGCAAGGCTCATGCTGCTACTGCCTGCGTTGTGATTCTTGATATCTCCTGCAAACACTTGGGTGAAAGCTGTGAGAGCCAATCGAATTGGTCATCTACACCAGACGCGAACGCACGATAGCATCATTCCTACAACCTGACGCAACGCGTCAGATCTGAATATCTCAAAACGGACAGCGACTAAAACCGGAAAAACCTATTGTCATCAAAATTCCCGTTGACATTCCTCCCACCTCTGCAGGCGCAGTTGCAGCAGGGGGCGGTGCCTTCAGACAGCAGGCTCCGATCCAGAGCAACGCAGGAGCGACCCACTCGGTTTCGAGCCTCCGTGGCAGGCGCCGACTCCTCACCTGAACCGACACGGACATGAGGACGGCAGGATTCCGCGGGTTTGCTGCATTGCTTCAAGTCTTGGCAGCCATGCTGGCAGCTTGAGTTCCTGAAGCTCGGCGAGACGACAAAAACATGCACGGTTTGATCAATTCAGCGGAAGCTTGGGGATTCTTGCACACGAACACCAGGCAAAGTGCAGGTTGTGGAAAAATCGCCCACAAATAATCCCAACTCACGGACCTCCTCCTGGCACGGCATCAGTTGCCACGGCTTCAGCGGCTGCCACGGCCGCCTTCTTCAGGCCGGGATGCATCGGAACGACATACAGCTCTGTCCCATGACTGCAGTTCAGAGAAGTGGTTGCATCGACGAATACAACGAACTAACTATGATCACGACGACGACTACCACTGCAACGACGACTATCACTTCCACGACGACTAAGACTACTAGTACTACTTTATACTACGAGTACTACCAGTAGTACTGCTAGTACCACTAATTCTTTCTTACTACTACCAAGACTAGTAGTTCTACTACAACTACGCCGACGACTACGACGACGACGACTGGTGACCAGCACTAGGCTAGAGGTTACAGGGAAATTGGGATACTGCTGGTACAACACACATCTCTGTGTCACAGTCAACCGAACTTAATTTCCAGGGTTGAGTAGCTAGCTTTCCTCGTGGCAGCTAGCAGCTCCAGCACGGTTCATGTTGTCGCCCGAGCATATGAAGATTCGAAGATCACCATGACATTCAGAAATGACCACCCTGGATGTCCATCGACGACTGCATCACTGCCTCTTCTACATACTAAAACTCGCACCGTTTTTTGCAGCCAGCAAGCATCTTCCAACCCGACGCGCCTCCAACACTTCGGCAACTGCAGGGGCTTCCTCCGACGGTTCCGGAGAGCTTCCGCTTCCCGGGGCGGAGGGTTTTTTTCCTAACGCTGGCGGTCTCGCGTGTCCTTTGCTAACGTTGGCTCTTGCTGTTGATTGCAAATACTGTAGACTGCAGCATTTGCTCCTGTTTTGCATCAACGTAGTGGGGAATTACAACTTGCAGGGTCCTCTTTTGGCCTAGGCTATTGGGGGATGACATTTTTGAGGCTCTTGCATTGTGTCAAGCTGATTGGGGATAGCAAATGGCAGGGTCTTGCTTTGCCTCAAGCTGATGCGGAATGACAATTTGCAAGGTCCTTTTTAGCTGTTTTGCCCCAAGGTATTGGGGGATTACAATTTCCAGGCTCTTGTCTTGCGTCAAGCTATTTGAGAATTAGAGTTTGCAGGGTCTTGCTTTGCATCAAGCTATTGGGAAATGACAATTTGCAAGATCCTGTTTTGCTCCAAGCTATCGGGTGTCTTGTGTCAAGCTGGGGACTTCCATGTTGCAGGGTCTGGCTTTGCATCAAGCGATTGGGGAATTGCAATTTGCAAGGTCCTAGTTCGCCCCAATCTATTGAAGGATTCCTGTCTTGTGTCAAGCTATGGGGCAATTAGAATTTGCGAGGCTGCTTTGAGCCAAGCTATTGAGGAATTAAAGCTTGCAAGATCCTGTTTTGCGCCAAACTATTGGGGCAATACGAAATCGAGGCTGCTGTCTCGTGTGTGTGTGTGTGTGTGCATAACAGTCCCTCTAGATAGACTGTGTTGTTGCTGCTGCTGCTGGCGCTGGTGCTGTTGCTGTTGCTGTTGTTGTGTGCATTTATCGAGAACTCGCCGAATCATTGGTCGATTTCAGTTCATCATATATCTTAAACACGCGCCCTCACGTGGCGATTCCCATCCATCATATATCTGAAAAACCCCCTCATGCGGGGATTCCCGTTCCTCACAAATCTTAACCCCCCGCGATTCCGGTTCATCATCTATCCTAAACACACCCCCCCCCCCCAATTGGCGATCCAGGTTCATCACATTGGATCTAAACACACCCCCTCATCATAGATCTTAAACACATCCCCCCCGATGGGGCGATTCCAGTTCATGGTATATCTCATTTGCGAAACCCGCCCTCAACTTTTCACAGCCTGAGGCCCACGACCCGGGCGACCCGCGGCTAAAAAAGACAGCGGAGGGGTCAGGGCACCGGGTTCAGATCTTACAGCGGCTTTATTTCCGACGGAACGATCAACCATCTGCAGTAAACGCTCTCTACCACTATTGATACTAATGATTCAGTGGCCCGGGTGCTGCTGCGGGCGCCGCAGCTTCAACGGGCTCCTGCTGCTGGGCTCAATCTTTGAGTGTAGGGTTGTGGGGCAACCAGCGTCATCGAATCTCGGCCGCTGACCCCCGACCTGCTCGAACCCTCAACCCCAGACGGGTAAAGCCCTCACAAGCCTCCCAGTCCAGCCCACTCGAGACAACCAACCCCTGGTCCACAACATCAACAGTGATGAGTGTACCAGCCATCAAACTGTTCAATATCTTCCTATACTGATTGTACACTAGACACGACACGCGCGCGACTGTGTGTGTATGTATGTATGTATGTATGTATGTATGTATGTAAGTATGTAAGTATAGAAGTAAGTAAGTATGTATGTATGTGTGTGTGTGTCTCTCTCTCTTTCTTTCTTTCGCCAGGGCTAGGGGTAAGGAGGGCAAGCCCCCCTCACCCGCGCGCGTTAGCGCCCCCGACTTGTGGGGAGCGAGTTATTAGTTCTGCAAACTCCATGAAGGCATGGGAGAGCAGTAACAGTAAGATGCGGTTACGGCAAATACAACAGCCCACAAAAGGTATTAAAAGGGCTCATCCCCTGGGCCATTCAACGGAGATGGTGCAACCACTCGCTGTCGAGACGGACGTATGGCAGTCAGCTCTTAGCTCATGTCAGGGTAACCCCCGGGGAAGTGTAAACAACTCCCTCTAAGCAGAAGAAAGAAGCCGAAGCCCGGGAGACCTTTCTGAAGACAAGAAACCTGAACTGAGCAAAGAGGTAGGGGGTATTCCCCTTGGACTGCAAGATACGTCTCGAAAGCATGCACGAAGTGTCATGACACGTGAAGAGTAGACTGACCACAGTGAATAACACAGAGAGGGGACGCCCCCTAGATTGGACACTTCTGAAGAGTTTGGTGTTGCAGCTTCCTTCTGTTCGGGCCCTAGTCCAAAAGGCAAAAGAGACCCTCGAAACCACTGGCCAACAAACACAATCAACCGATCCAAACGAACCTTCCCAAGTCAAAGAACCTGAACAGAAAGTATTGGGGTTTGACCCCAGCTGCAAAAGGTGCACAGAGGCCAGATCCCTTGCATTCGGGAAGTTGCTCTCAGGCGCCTCTATGTCGGCACTTTCCCCTATGGCAGTGGAACTGAAAGGCAAAAGGAAGATCCCGGAAGCCCGAACCCCGAGCCCCAACACCCGCCCCCCCCAAGCCCTGGGAACCTCCTGAAGACAACGAACCTGAACAGAAGGAAGGAAAAGGGGCCTCCCCCTAGCTGCGAGGTCAGCAGCTTAGGCTCGGCTCTCGAAAGTTTTCTCACGTTGCTCTCAGTAGAGGTCGAGACTGGCGCAGTCCCGCAAAAGGCGCTTTGGGGTCACCCCCGCCACTCCGCTCAGATGTAGGCAACCTGGAGGTAGGCTCAAATGTCGTCGACGGGGGAGTCAGCTTCATCCATGGCTGCGTGAAGGCGGCGACGCCTGTGTGATGTGGCGGCCGGCGTAGCTCCCCCGTCTACATCGTGGTGTGCTCCGGGGTGAAAGTCTTGGGTGGGCAGCAAAACGGTACTGGCTTCTGACTCAGGTATCGAGGGTGCCCCCCCGTCAAGCACAGTTTGGGCGTCGTCTGCAGCAAGGAGAATGGGCGTACCCCAAAGTGCTGTAGTCCATTGAAACAGCAGACTGTGTGCTTTCTGCAGAAAGACCGCACTTTGGTGCTCAACAAAAGGAAGAACTTGTTCAAGAAGTTGCTGAGCACGTAAGATGTTGTAGGGGCCAACATCCCCTCCCGGTCTTGCGTCTTCCTGAGCCGCGGCTTGTTGTCGAGCATGAGGGTGCCCACGGTGGTCAGCAGGAGCTGGTTCACGTAGAGGTGGGGCGGCATCGTCCAACTGGAAGCGGGGGGCTTGGCTGCTCCCCGACGGCTTCTCGGCCATGCGACGTTTCTTTGGTGACGGGCTGCCGGACTCTGCCTGGGGCCTCTTGTTGGCCCCGAACCTTGTTTGGATCCATTCCAAGAGCATATCCATCTGGCCACTGGCTCGGCTGGTAGCATGCAGGGTCTCTGTGAGCGCCTCCGTGATGCTCGCGACGCCACCTTCACGGACTGCCAGGTGACTAAAGGTAAGGCACTGTAAAGTGTAAAGCAGTGCCTAGGCTCGCATCTCCGACCTGCGCTCCAGGGGCCTTTGGGGTTCGCCCCCAACTGCGTAGCATTTGCTGGCCTTCCTGAAGGAGGGTTTCGATCCTCCTGAGTTCCTTGCGAAGATGTCGATCGGGGAGCTCATTATGGTGCAGAACCAGGTGGCTCAAGGTCGCTTCCGCCTCGACAAGGGGGTTGTTCATGAAGAAGTAGATCTCCGTCGGCGCCACGTTGTTTGGGACCGCTGCGTCGGGGGCATCCCCGGTCCTGCTTGCGCCCTCTTCCCCTTCGGAACCAAGACTGCTGCGCCTTTGTTCATCCACTGTTTGTAGTTTGTCCAGGTAGTAACAGGCCTGGTACGCGAGCTCGGTGACATCTTCTCGTGGCTGTAGATGCGACTGTCGCAGTAGGTCGCTAAGAAGGGCTCGCAGCAGACGCAACACTTGCAGGACTGAGGCACCTCCCTGCGCCATTTCTTGCTGCAACTGGACAATCTGGGCCGACAGAGCCGGTGAAGTCCATGTGGAGTGGAGAGCGGGATCATCATGGGCTCGTGGAGCTGGTGGTACTTCAGGTACTCCTCGTTGCATCAGGGAGACAAAGTCATCCCTGTCCCTGTTCGGCGTAGGTCTCTTCGGCTGGAACTGGCTGAGGGTCTCTTGCAGCAGCACGGAGTTGTCTGTAGGCGAGTGGTGCGGAGGTGGTAGTGGTGGGTCGTCGCTGGGCCAGCTGGTCTCCGACTCGGAGATCACGTCCCTGGTCGGCTGTGTTGGTTGAGCGGGGTTGGATTGCAAAGGGGTGTCCCCCTGGACTCGCTGAACTGCTGCTGGTGACCCACGCTGCGGAAGCGCAGCCGGCTCAGCGTCTGCGGGAGCTGATTGCTGCGCGGGTCTAGCTTTGGGCTTTGCCGTGGCTTTGGCTTTCGGCTGAGGCCCAGAGCCCCGAGATCGGCTTTCCGTAGGGTCATGTCTCTCTGGAGGTGGTGGAGGTTGTGGAATCTCCGGCACGGGGATGCTGGAATAACCACCCAAAGTCTCGATGTCGTTCTCGAAACGAGGTCTGCGTCTCCATTCCCGGCCATCTTCAGACCATTGCAGCCAAAAGGACATGCCTGCGGTGAGGGGAATGACCCCTGAGGTATTGGAGCTGGAGCTGGCTCTGCTGGCTGTGGTCGTAGCATCGGCATCCACCATGACAAGCCAGAGCTGCGGTGTTTGGATGGCTCCCAATTCCACCCTTGTAGAAGCCACCCATGGCCCCACAGGCAGCAAGGTGAGGCAGAGGCCGTTCGGCAGGTGCCGTGATCCAGGGGCCGCCCCCGACTGAGTGTTGTATATGACCAGCGTGGGTTCTTGTCCATGTCGTCGTGGGTGTTTGGCTATTTGCCAGGGGCGTAGGTCAGTCACTGTGCCCCGCCAGGCTCCTGTAGCAACTCCTCGCAGCGTAAGGATGCTGCGTTGACGTAGCGGAAAAACCGGGGGTAGCGTTGCTGGGGATGCCCCCGCTAACCAAGAGAGATCCTGCGTATTTGTTCCGGAGCGCACTGTGCTGCGCATCGGCTCCGTATTTCTTGTCGCTGTCCATTGTGGGGCTTGGTTTTGTGCCACTGCAATGGCTGCATGCGCCTCCAAGTCGGAGAGGCCCTCCGGGTGCTCGATGCCGCTGACTTCTTCTGGAGGCTGGGAGCCGTCCGGCCTCGGAGGTGGCTGGTAGAACAGCAGGTCGCCCTGGTCAACGTCCGCGAGAATGGGCTCTTGTGTTGGGGGTCTCGGGAGCTTAACGACCGGGTATTTGTCAACGCCATCTCCCCGAAGTTGCAGGTGCGAGCTGTTCGTGAGCTTCCGGGGAATGAACTGAGTTCTCGTAGGCTTGGGAGGTTGCTCACGGCGCCCTCTTGGAAGAGAAAACCTGACCTGCCTCTCACGCTGCTGGTTGCGGTTGCTGCGGTTTGTTCGGCCAGGCTGCGCCGTGTGAGCAGGTTGTCTGTCGTCATCTCCCCGATGTAGATCACGAGGTCCTTCGGCTCGATGGGGCTGACTTGGCTTGTTGTCCCCTGACTGAGTCGAGGTGCTTTGCGGTGTGAGTGGGAGCTGTGCTTGTGGTGGTTGTTGTTTTTCCTGCCGCTGTTGTTGTTTTGTGCCCGGAGCCACTGCTTCGGCTACGTTTGTGCTCCTTCCCGGGCGGAAAGCTGGTGTCTCGGCCGCTCACCCGGAGGCAACCTGTATGGGTTGTTGTCTCTGCGGGCTGCATGGTCTGCACGGGCTTGCGAGTCTGCTTTGGTAGCTCGCGTGTCTATTGGAGGGTGGATGTCCCTCGCGGGGTTGTTGTCTGCCGTGGCATGAGGTTGTTGCGGAGGTGTTGGCTGCTGTGGAACGATGTTGCCGGCACTGTCGTAGCTATAATGGTGGGAGTTGAGGAGGCTGCTGAGCTCGGCTCTTGCTGCGGCAGAGGCGGTCGTGCGCGGAGGCTTGGCCGGAGGGATCTCCCCGCGTTTGAGCCATGCAAGGGCTCCCCGCCACGTCAGCCACGCTGGCTTGCGGGGCCAACCCCGTTCCTCCCAAAGTTTTTTGACGTCGGATTTCCTGGCCTTGTTCTTAACTCGCTGCGATCCATGGCCGGCTGGTCTCCGCTGGGGTTTGCTTCCCCTTGGTGTGGCAGTAGGTGGGTCATGTTCCGTGTCTGCTTGCTCGTCATCTGTGTCGCTCTCCCAGTCAATCTCGGAGTCCTCGTCCTCGTCATCATCGGGGCCAGGAGACTGAAGTTGCGAGGTTTCCCCCGCGGGTGGATATACATTTGCTGAGGATGTTCTCGTGGCTGCGGGGTTGTTGGAGGCATCGGTGTGCGGCGTTGTCTGGGTGGACGCCGGGCAGCTGGAGCTGGATTCACCCTGGCATACTTCAGGTCCTTCTTGGGGACTGGAAGGAGGTACATCGTCATCTTCGGGCTCCATTGTGTCGGCATCGCTTGGGCTGGGCTGAACGGCTCGCTGGTCCAAGACAAAGCTATTGCGTCTCCATTCGCGAGCTCGCCCCACGGGCCCATTGTGGGTGGCGAGAATTCGCCTGCACCGGGGGTTGTGCCCCGGCTTTCGGGCGGGGGCTGCCTCCCCTGCGAAGGTTGACCAGGTTGTTGCGGGAGAAGAGGCGTAGGCTGTGTGCGTTGCGTCGAGGAAGTCTGGGCTTCTGCAGGCATTCCCGAAAGACCAGCGGGTTGGAGCTCATCATCATGAATCACCCCATCGTCATGCCAAGGGTCGGCTTCCGCATTGTACTCCCGGGCGTAGCCGATGCGATAGGTCGGATGCGCAGGGACGACATGCGGAGGCTCATTCCAGGTTGTACCGTCGTCCATTGTTACCGTCTCCTGGGCCTGAGCTGCTGAGGGGAGCTGCTGTGGTGGTACTGCAGGACCTTGTACGGCATGTTCAGCACGGGCTTGAGGTAGGGCAGGTGGATCACCAGGGCGCGGGTGAGGTTGCTGAGGAAAAGCTCCGGGTAGTGCAGCAGGAGGCCGTAGATGTTGATGCAGTGGAACTGCTTGGTCGTGTCCCTCAGGTAGAGCAGCATGAGGATGCAAGCCCGATCCCGAGGTCGCTGGACGGGAGGAACTCGCCGATGCCGATGTAGATTCTCTTGAGCTGCTCTGCATGTTGGCACGAAAAGTTGCTGGGTCTTGCATTGCCGGCAGGCTCGGTAAAAAGGGGATGCCCCCTTGTTCCGGGACTGACAAGTCGACCACCTCAAGGATGTCCTCGTGGTCGTCATGGTGGTCGTGGAGGTCGTGGGTTTCAGGTTCCGTGTCGTCTTCACAAGGAGCCACGGGCAAGTCAGAGTCGCTTCCAGAGCCGGGGTCACTAGACTCGACCAAGATTGGCTCACCGCGGTTTCCGGGTGCCGCAGTCCCGTGCCAAAGAAGAAAAAACCCCCAAAAGCCAAGTGCCAAGAAGAGCGCGCTCCTCTTGCTCACTCTATGGGTCGTTTGCTGCAGCCGGAAGCTGATGTCACAGACAATTCCTCAGGGCAAGGCAAGGTAGGATACATGGGGGAGGCAAGGGCTTAGGGTCATCGCAGTAGGTCGATTCGCTTCTGATTAAGAGGAAAAGCTACGGTCTTTGCACTTCAGCGAGCAGGTGGGTCAGGCATATGTGCGTGGGGAGAGTCCTCGATAAGGGGCACTAACGAAACCAGAAGGGGACTAAACCACAAAGGCAACCAAAAAAGGGGGGAGGACTAAATTGCAGAGGATCACGGAAGTGCGGCTTGCAGGCCCAGCTTGCAGGCTTGGCTGAGGCAAGAGCTCACAGGGCTCGGCCCCCTCGAGGTGCTGCAGCACAGACTATGGCTTCATCGTCGGCAGAGCTACGGCGGGCACCCGTTCGCCCCCGACGGGAGAGGTTAGGGGCAAGGTTCGGCGCCCCTGGCAAGGTTAGTTGGGAACCGCTTGCCCAGGGCGGGTCGAAGGCATCCAAGAATGCCTGCTGAAGCCGGTTCCAGGCGTTTCTGTCAGATGCCGTCACCCACCATTGCGCACCGGAAATGGTGATGATGTGTCGTTCGGGGTCCCTATCAGGATTATGATGGCCTTTATGTCTAACGCCACGGGGATATGGCCCCGGGATCTTTGCCTGCTCATCTCTCCACCACGCCATATCTCGCCACCTGAGTATATGAAAGGTCGGTTGGAACGGCGCTCTGGCGATATGTCCCCATAAGCCCCACTGCATCTGGAGGGCATGGGTAGACCAGCGGGGGATCTTATGCTGGTGAACAAGGGCTCGCGCCCTGCGCATGGTTCTGACATGCCACTGGTGCCACGCTTCCGTGGCGGGGCGCTTCCCCGTGATCATGGTTCTCACCTGAAGCAGTTGTGTGCTGTTCGCCGACTGGGCCAGGGCCCGGTTGATGGGCCATGCAGGACAGCCCCAAAGCGCAGCGCTACGGACCAGGCTTTGGTGCAGCAACAAACGATCTCGAAGGGGTGCGCGCGAGCACAAGACATGTTTGTGCTGATGAAATGCACGACGCGCACGTGCCTGCAGCTCCGCCACGATTGGGGAGATTTCCCCCGACATGGAGACAGGGGCACCGAGGATGATCATGATATCATCCGGGCCATCAGGCTGCACGGAGTTGCCTCCGATATGAAATCTAACTGGGTCGTTCTTCTGGTTGGAGATCACTTGGGTCTTTTTGGCATTTATTTTAAGTCCAATCTCCTGTAAGCGGCGTTCGAGTTCGGTAAGGATTTGCTGGACATAGGCGGGGGACTCGCCCCAGAGGTAAGTATCATCCATGAAAGCGGCTCCCGAGTGCGGTGGCGGACCTAAGGCTTTATGCCGACCCACATGAGGGGGGAACCCCTGATTCACAGAACCTAGAGTTGCGTCGAGGACCTCCCCGATCTCCGCTGCAAACAGAACTGGGCTGTCGGGGCTGCCTTGCCTGACCCCGTTGGATTGGTCAATGCAGACCTGATGTTTGTGCACGAAAAACTGAAGCTCACGGGCTTCAAGCAGGCTGAACCAGAGTCTGGCCTCCCAGGGCATGCCGCCTTGCTTAGCGATGCGGCGCATGACCAGGTCCCCTAGTTTCTCCTGGGCAATGGAGTCAAAGGCCTTGGCAATGTCAATTTTGACAATGTAAAAAGGTGTATGCCACTCATGTGCAACTCGGGCAAGCTTCCTTAGGGAGAGCACAAGTTCAACCCCCTGTTTACCTTTGCTGGCCCACTGATGTTGGCAGCATTGTTGCAGCATAGGGACCCCCCTGAGTAGGAGCAGTTGTGATGTCCACTTAAGCAGGGCACTTGAAAGGGTAATTGGCCTCGTGTCGGACCACGAAAGGGGCTGGACACACTTTGGCAAGAGTACCGACGCCCCCTGCATGATCAAAGGGGGGAGATGACCTTTGTACAACCCGTCGTTAAGCAACTCTGCGATCTTAGGGCGCCACGCAGGATGCTCGAACATGAGTCGTAGGGCCTCAAGTGCGATGCCATCAGGGCCCGTGGCGCGGTGGTTCTTCCACCGTGCCATTGTTATTCTCATTTCAGCCTCACTGAAAGGACGCCATGGGGTGCATTTGCACAGGGCTGAGGCTTCTGCATGCAGGAGTTCCATGGCACTCCGAGTCGTTGCCGGAGCGGCTTTACAGAAGATGCTTCGCATGTGTGCATCGAGTTTGGTGGACCAGGCAGGGTCATCAAGCAGCGCGTCTGCCCAATTTGTTTTAGAGTCCTTCTTCTTGAGCGAGCGGAGAGCGTCCCAGTTATGTTCCCCGGCTTTATCAGCCAGGAGACGTCTCCAACCTTTTCTTTCTTGTTGCAGTGTTTTGTGCACTAACTTCCATGCTTGGCGGGCTTCGGTCCCCGGCTTGAGTTCCCTCGCCTGTCTTCGCATACGTTTGAGTGTGCTGCTTTCTTGGAACTTAAGGGATCGGTGCACTGGCACCGTGATCAGTTTGGCTGCACTGGCTATGGCTGCCTGCAAGTCTGCCTCCAGAGGGCAGTGTGCATTCAACTTGGCTTCCGCCCCCGATGCAAGCTGGCGAGCACACCAGAGGACGCCTATCTTAGGCTGGTTTTTAATGGGGAGTCGCAGGCAACAGAAAACGGGCTCATGGTCGGAGCTGGCTCTGTCTCTGTGTTGTCCCACCCATGCTTGCAATGTGTGGATGCCGCGTGTGGCAACATAATCAAGCCTGCGGGGAGACATGGATGTGTTGTAAGGGTAGTACGAAGGCTGCTCAATATCCTGTGCAGGCAGCACAAAGCCTTGTTCCATGCACCATTGGAGGATTTGCTCCCCTCTGCCTGCGCAAGAAAGAGTGGTCTTACCGAGGTGACCCCCGGGGTGCAGGAAGGTCTCATTGGCATCCATCCCTAGGATTATCCTATCGAGGGTCAGGCTGGGCGATGCGTCCCAGTCGGCAAGGCAGCTAGCGGTCTGGGCAATGGTGAAACTATGGGAAATGTGCCCCGAAACAATCCCCAGGGTACGGTTATCGGGACTGCGCAGGGTCATGGTGATAGCGGCTTTAAGAAGGCGCGTATGCTCGTGGGTGCCTAGGACTTTACGAAAGGCAACAGCGCAACCTCTCCATTCATTTGTCAGCTTGCCGTGGATCAGCATCCACGTCTCGTTCTGGTCAAAGTGTGGACCTCCAGTAGTCGTAATCTCTTGGAGAAGGACAATCTGAAGGTGCTGCAGTTCGGGTGTTCCCCGAAAGTTGGTGAGGAAGTCCAGAGCTTTTTCCGGGCTCATCCCCCCGACATTCCAGGTCGCACAGTGCAAGGAAGCGGCTTCTTCTTGAGGCCGATCAGCAACGCGTAGTGGGTGAGACGGTAGGGGTTCTCCCCCTTCATTGCCGGCGAACTCGGTGTCTAGTCACCGGAGAGCCCCGAGGAGGGGTTCCCAGGTTTTCTCCAACTGGCCAGTGGGGACTCCAATCAACTTCGCAATGGTCTTGAGGTCGATCCAGCCGCATCCGGCTGGCGCCGAGTTTGGAGGGCACGAAGACGAACCGGAGCTGACTTTATGGTCTCGAAACCACACAGTGCCTGTCGCCCATTCAGGTTCAATCTGTGGCAGGGTAGAGGACCCCCCGGCTTCAATGATCAAGCGCTTCACTTTCCCCGCCAAAGCAGCTCGGCGTCGTCTCTCTGGCGGTTGGCTGATCGTGAGCCAGAGTCTGGCCATGTTACCATCTGGCTTGCGGCCCAGTGTGACATTGGCAGCGGCAACTCGCCGAATACACTGCTGCATGCGCTGGCGCATAGCATCTTCACTTTCCCCATCGTTGGGCGTCGTGGGGATGAGGACAAATCCCCGTCTGACCCCGGGCACAAAGGCATCAGTCATGTTGAGTTGTAGCTGCAAATCGCGGGCCATCTCATTGGCTTTCTGGAGGACTTCGCTGGCCTGGGTTTCAGGTGGCCAGCCTCCCATGATGAGGGCGGGGACACGGCCCGATTCCGCTGTGGACGGGGTGCTCCCCGACGCCTGGAAGTTTTTGACGGTCGTCTCCAGGAAGCTGATTCTCCCCGCCATGGTCTTGGTGTCGTTGGCGATGTCTGTGATGCGCAGGGCCTGTTCGGCTTGGTTCGTCGAAAGAGTCTCGACGGCTTGGAAAGTACGATCGTTGTGTTGCTGGAGATTACGTTCAACCGCAGCGACCCGATCAGAAAGCCCAGTAACAGCCCCCTGGATCTCACCACGCACCACATCGCGAATGGCCTCCAGGCTGAGCCCCTCATCTTGTACGGCTCTTTTCTTCGGCGGTGACTCTGAGGGTGGGCCCATGCTCCCCTGTCTAGTGTTGTCCGTCATGGTGACAAAGGGCAGGCTCGCCACGGCAATGGAGTCAGTGAGTAGGTTCGCCGATCCCCGGGATGCCGAGGTTTGTTAATCTGCCTAAGGTTCAAGGCACAGCCACCGAACAGGACCGATGCACAACTGGCTCCTCCGCAGGGACCTCTGGCTCGAGGAGCGCAATCTGCACCTTCACGAAGTTCAGCAATGGCAAGGAGACAGGCGGCAGTAGAGAATGAGCAGGCGCCCGGGTTTGTGGAGCGGGGGGCCTCGGAGAGAAGAGGAGAAGGAAGGGGAAGAAAGGGCGGAGAGGCCCCCACGTCCTTGAACCACTCGCGGCTTGAGCCAAAATGGCTCTCTCTCTCTCTCTCTGTCTGTGTATGTCTGTCTTTCTTTTTCTTTGTGTGTGTGTGCGTGTTGGGAGAGAGGGTGGGGGTGGGGGACGGGGATGCTGTGAGTGTGGGTGGTGGTGTGGGTGTGGGTGGGTGTGTGGGCGTGGACGTGGGGGCGAAGACAGTAACGATGGTAGAAATACAATTAAATCATTGGCAGCAGCATCCTTCGCCGGCTCCGGAGGAGGATTCCGATTTCGGGCGGAGCGGACGAAGTCCATGAAGTCCGTCTTGCCGGAAACTTCTTTCCCTGGGCACAAGGATCCAGGGAGGTCTTGCCCTCGGTTCTAGGACGTCAGGGTTCTGTTTGCCTGGAGGTTGTGAAGATGCTCCTTGCGTCCACCGAGCTAGCCGGTGTGCAGCATGGCAAGCGATAGTTGGAGCTTCAGAAGGTTGGGACACTTCACCATCCATGGATACTAGGTGCTAGGCACTGACCTGAGACCTGTGACCAAGAAAATCGGTTGGTGCAGAAGACAGAAGCATCGTAAAGTCTTACATTCGGCAGCTTCATGCTGCAACGGTCGGCTTTCGGAGCTACTGGGAGGTTCTAAGTCACCACCGGGAAACGGGCATAGACTCGGATGTGGTGTCGTCCGAACAGCCTTCGGCTCTGCCACATGAAGGCCTTGTTGTATTTGGCCTTGTACCTGAGTGCAGACTGCCACATCTGCAACTAGCGTGCTTTAGGAGAGTACTTCGTCTAGTACAGTGTGCCGGGAATTTAGAACAACTAGTTGAGCGGGCAAGGGGGAAGCAAGATTGCCTGCAATCTTGCAATCTTGGTCTTTAAAAAGGTAACCTAGTTGGCGAGCAAGTGGGGCAAGATGACCAAGATTGCTTGGCAATCTCGCTCCCCTCTGACCAAGATTTCCAAAATGGTTCCATCAAAAAACTGTTCTAAATTCCCGGCACAATGGACTAGTAGGCGACGCCAGGAACCGACGCCAACAACGACCACTGCAAGTGTTCCGATTTGTGCGGTGATAGAGAATCCCTTTAGGCTGCTGCAGCAGTACGACAACAAAAACGGCAGGCCACTCCCATCAGCGCCTCAAGCACCCACAACTTCCATCTACCTACAACAACGGCTTGCAAAACAACACAGCTCATGAATTGACTATCAAGCCTTCAGTCCAAACTTGACATCAGCCAGGCGTCTCGTCTTCTATGCCATTGGCGGGGTCCTCAGTGGCACCACCAAGTCCGCAACAAGCCTACTGCGCAGTTTCGGCGGGATGTCTTGTAGTGCAAATGGTAGCACTTCTGCTGCGAGAATTGACTACTGCTTCCTGCACACACTCAATTAAAACCACTCTTAGCATCCCACAAGCCCGGGGTCCTCGTCCTCCTCATGTCGATCCAAGGCCCGCTCCCCTAGCCTCCGAATTTCCAGGGCCTGGGCGACAAATCGACAGAAAGGGAAAATAGTTCGGAACCTTGCAGCATCTTTTTCTATAGATCGAAACAGGCTGAGCATCCGGTTTGGCGTGCTGGTGCTGCGGGGCTCACTCACAACCCCACATCTCATCCCCAAGACCGAAGCACTTGCTCGAGCGAAGGCTCTTCCCAAGGCACCAGGAAGACACAAACCAGAAACCCAAAAGGACCTTACCACTTCCCTCTCAGCCTCTGGCACAGGGCTCGGGGGTACCCTCCCCGTCAACTCGGGGACTCTGAACCACTGGCGGGGTGAAGTCTTTCACCTCCTCGAGCTGTGCCAGGGTTCAAGTACCCGCTGACAGCGCTCCGCCGGTTGCTTGCAAAGCTGCCACGCGCGACCCCCACTACCAAAGGGTCCTTCAAGAGGTTTAGGATGGTGGAATCCAGCTTGGGCTTGTCGCTTTTGGGAAACCTCGGCTGAGGAGGACATGACGACATGGCTCAGGCTGCCTGGAGCTCGAACTGATTCCGAAAAAACTGAGCAGAGAGGCGAGACGGCGTTACCCACCGCATCAATCTCCTGCACCTGAGCCATGAAGTATACTGCGGTATATGCGAAAGTGGACATCAGCCTCGCAATTAAGCCGCCGTGTGTTCGAAGCCGAGTCGAGACCCGGCTAAGACACCATCCGTCTTGCAGCTATTCAAGCAGGCCGGATATGTTGATGAAGTAGCCAGGAGGTGTTGGGTGAGTGATATCCAGCGACCAAAATACAACACAGGGACGAAGTTGTCGCATCATGGCCGTACGTAGCGAAGGCCGTAATCAGGATTGACGAGATTCCGTCTGGAATAAGATGCTACCGTACTACACTACTGCACGGATTGGAAATCGGCGGCTGAATCATCGCAGCTGTCCGACTTGCAGGACTGCCCCTCAAAAAAACGCCGAAGATGTCGAAGACCTCTCAACCTTGTTTAGTATCTCGGCCCTCTTGGCTAGCAAGGCGCAAACAACCACAAGCGACAAGAGCCTTCTATTGTGATGTGACATGATCGTGCGCCCCAGGAAGGTGTTCGAACATGAACCCGTGATATGTAATTATCGCTAGCAGGGCAAAACCCAAAAACACCTTCGAGATACCCCCGAGACAGTCCAAACAAAAGCTTCGCAACATTCTTTTCCTAAACAGCAAGCACTTCCTCAACTGCCACAGATCCCAACACTCTCCCTCGCCTTGCCCGTCAGCATCTCCAGGCTGTCATGCTCCCACTCGCGACAGCCCTGGCCCTTCCTTGGCATTGGCTTCTGGCCTAAGTTTAGCCCTCAGGGCCTTGGGTCTTGTTGCCTCAGAAAGTGCCAGGACGAGCCTGCATAGCCAGGGTATCTCAGCCTCCCTTTCGTCTCTGCCGGTGAGGCAACTCAGGCCGTGGCTATCTTCCTTGCTTAGTGGATTACGGTTGAAACTTGTCCATTGACATTTAGATCTGGGGCACACATGGGCACATGACCCCCAACTCATGAGACAACGCAGCTTCGGTCGGCCTTTTGTCATGCAAGGGCCGTGTTGCATAACTCAATACCACGGCGTGGCCTTTACAAAGGGAAACAGACTGTCAACGTCAATGCAATTGCACTTCATCAACTAAACGGTGGTATTCACACCATACAGTGCGAATCATGCTTGACATGAGCTGTTAATCTTTATTCCACATGAGATGTGCCGAATTCCAGGTAAAATACAGAATGAAAAGCGCAGAGTCGCACGCACATATACACGCATGTGGACACACATGGCGAGGTGAATATACAACGTCTACATACGCACCTGCACAAGCTTGAGGCTAGACATGCACACGTGAGTAATACTTGCATTGCACTCATGTGCATACATGTGCATACTACATATGCATACACGGGTTCAATGTGAAAACATTTGTATGTGTAGCAGGAATTGCAAAGGTGCGTTCCGAGGCAGTGCTGGGGAGCCTGCTCGGGGATGGATTACGTCCACGGCTTGGATGACAGAACCCGAAGAACCAGCAAAGACGACTCCAGCATTGCAATATCTGCACAATATATACATGCTGGTTCCAGGGCCACTTCTCGCTGCTGCGTGCTACTTGCACAGTACGTTTGGGCCTGAACACAGACAGAGTGCCTTCAGCCCCTTCTCCATTCATGCCGGGCATCCAATTGACCCAGTGCGATTCTCGCGCTAGGACGTGGGTGACCATGGTGCCCACGCTGGCTCGCCTGAGGGCCAAACAAGCATGCGTGGCTTGCTGGCAGCTAATACTCCGTACTACTACTACTACTACTACTACTACTACTACTGCTACTGCTACTGCTACTGCTACTGCTACTGCTACTGCTACTGCTACTGCTACTGCTACTGCTGCCACTACTAGTACTACTACTACTACTACTACTACTACTACTACTACAACTACTACGTCTACTAGTACTTATGATTTACAGACCAGGCTTGCCTATGGTACAACTGCTGGTGCCCAGGTCCGGAAACACCACAATTGCGG